AGGACTTCGGAAACAGTAAGACGTGTCACCACGGTCACGGTCGATGACCGATGGTCATGTGTATGTGTATTTCGTTCACAGATCTAACAACGTTTTTTTTTTTCTCTTCCGGACGTTGGACCGTGTATCATTTCTTATAACTTTAAGATTAGCGGATGGATGAAGCTGCCTTCTTTTGTGCCAATTACTGCCACCGTTTCCCTTTACGACGTGACTCCATGATACGTAGTGCGCTTCTGATGATAGTGCTTCTGATGAGTACAGACGCTGAAGGTACGTGGATTATCCTTTATTGTTGTTGCTTTTGTCGAAGGTAGAATAGAAAATGTCTTACAATCTTTCATTTTAAATAAGAAGAAACCCCGTTTTTAGTGAGCTGCGCACGATCACCTTCGTTTTAGTATTTTTAAAACCCATGGAAGATGGACAAGAAAAGTTCAAAGCCATCAGGTGCTCAGTTTAGAAAAAAAAAGAAAAGAAGAGGAGGAGAAACGAGCAAAAGATACCGGTAAGCCGGTGTCATTGGATAAACGCAGGCCATGTATCCTGAAACAATCAGAATCATATTCAGAATACTTTATTAATCCCTAAGAAAATTATGTAGATTACAGTTGCTCCAAGAAGAAATTGTAAAAATAGTAACAGTAACAGACTAAACTCCAAACAATACATTGTGTTACAGATTTTACACATTTACAAAGTAGCACTAATACATAGAGATCACTCAATTATAAATAAAAAGTATTAGCAGAGGGGATTATAAATAAATATCAAGAAAATTGGCAAGAATATTACAGAGTAGAAAAGAGTGTGTGTGTAAAAAGGGTGTAACTATTGCAGTGTTTACAGTGTATTAGATGGAGGAGTCGTTCAGGGAGATGGCCACAGACAGGAATGATTTCCTGCTTTTTGGTAATGTCAGTCTCTCACTGAACGTGCTCCTGTCACTAGCCGGTACATCATGGAGTGGGTGGGAGGTATTATCCATGATTGTCCTTATCTTGGACAGCATCTGCCTCTCAGACACCACCATAATGGAGTCCAGCTCCATCCCCAACACATTACTGGCCTTGTGGATCAGTTTATTTAGTCTGTTTGCATCTGTGACCCTCAACCTGCTGATAGCA